ACTAGGTCACTAATTCAGTTCACTAGAAGGTGTGAATGAAACCGAGTAGTGAATTCGGACACTGAGTGCACCGGAAGGAATGCCGCTTTTGCATAGTTTGTGCTTGCTGTTTATTAATCATTTGAAACTAGCAAACTAGCAGCTCCAGTAGTAAGATTAAAGGATTTATCTTGAACTCTGTCACGGAAATTATGTATAAACCCTAATCAAACAATTTAATCATCAATTTACAATGAATTTATACCCGTGTTGTACATTATGCTGTACACCATGGATGAGCGCTTTGTAAAAATGAACGGATTAGCTGCGTCCGAAATCGCATACTTCCATACTATATAGTAGGCAAAAAACAGTATGCGAGGCGAGTAGTATGTCCGAATTCATAGTATTCGGAAAACAGTAGGCGAGAAGTACCCGGATGACCTACTACTTCCACCCGAATTCCGTAGCATGCATACGATGGACACTTTACTATCCCATGAGGCCACGGGAGAGGAGGCGTCATATTCGAAAATGGGGGAAGGCGGCGACACGGCTCTTTTCAAGTGCAAGTACCTCAGGGAAAAACGTTAAAACGCCGGATCCGTGTTGACGAAACGCCTATACGATACAAAATTTATGCGTATACAGCTAAACGCGTCTCCGTGTGGATAAGGTTTGTCCAAGAAAGTCGCTAGATTAGTCGCTAGTCGCTTTTTTGGAAAAAAGTCGCTAAGGGGGGTCTGAAAAGTCGCTAAATTGGCAACACTGTTTGGCGCACATCATTCTTTCTATGAAACCTGTAAACCGCATTCACTGGTTCGAACTCTATAGCGACATCAACTCTATAGCGGTTTGCCCGAGCATTGCGATTCTTTCGCTTTTACTGGCATTCAATCAAATGGCTTTCCCCAATCATTTTTGCATGTGCGCGGCACATTGTTTCTTGTGGGGGAACATTGCCCAAAACCTGTTAACAGCGTGTCTTGTCTGGTACCCAAAACTGTAATAACAGTCTTATTCAGGGATGAACTGCTGAACATCTCTCTGCTGAACAACTCTCTCTCCAAGATGATATATTCCCATGATAATACTTTAAGTTTAAGGAAGGAAGGAATTATCACAAACAGAAAGATTATTAGAAGCCTTTCTTTTTCTCATGATTTCTATCTTATATTCATGAATGTATTTTGTAAGATTTTTCAGATTTATCCACTCTGGGACCCGGTTTCAAAAAATATCGGTTTCACTCTCCCAAAACGCCGGATCCGTGTTGACGAAACGCCTATACGATACAAAATTTATGCGTATACAGCTAAACGCGTCTCCGTGTGGATAAGGTTTGTCCAAGAAAGTCGCTAGATTAGTCGCTAGTCGCTTTTTTGGAAAAAAGTCGCTAAGGGGGGTCTGAAAAGTCGCTAAATTGGCAACACTGTTTGGCGCACATCATTCTTTCTATGAAACCTGTAAACCGCATTCACTGGTTCGAACTCTATAGCGACATCAACTCTATAGCGGTTTGCCCGAGCATTGCGATTCTTTCGCTTTTACTGGCATTCAATCAAATGGCTTTCCCCAACTCATTTTTGCGTGTGCGCGGCACATTATTTCTTCTGCGCGCGCAGCTTAGAGGGAACATTGTTAAGAGCCCTGTAGGTCTTTTTGCGATTCAGAAAGGCATTGTGGAAGAAAGCCAAGACAAATGCTTCATACTTTAGGATTTGGATTTATTCTGACATTCAGGTTCATGTTCAGACTTCAGGCATATTTGACTGAATTCAGCTGCGATTCAAACAAAGTTAGCCTTCACAGAACATCATTCCACGTTTATGCTGTATTAAAAGAAAAGAAGGATAAATTCAGAATGCTATTAGGATTATACTCTCCATTTTCATTCAGATTTGCTTTAAAATGAAAAACAGCTGTAACATATATAAAAAATCTGGTGGTGTAGATAAAAGTAACATGTTTGCAGATTAAAAATTCCACAAGCCAATCACCATTCATTTAACAAACCATGTTAAATATATTAACTTAAACACTTAGTAAAAAAGAAAAAACGGCATTTGCAAAGTGTGCTCATACATTCTCGAATGTATTCATGTTCACAAATGCGCTAAATGCCAAATACTGATGAGAATGAAATTGACTCTCCTAATTGGTCATAGTGTTTATCCACAGCCAAAGGCACGTCCCACTACTGCCACTAGAGGCCGCACTAGAGGCGTAGCGTTCATTTAAGCCTGAGGCCACTTCATGACACAATGCTGCTTTACAATGTACTTTTGCATATCAAAACTCCTTTACATATATATTTGTACATGGGTATATATTTCATATATAACTTGATTCAATGCATACACACTAAAATATTTAGTATCAGACAAGACTAACTTTGGAGCATTGCTTTATGTTACATTAGTGCAAATGCAGTGGCATATATGTAAATATATTTTCTCTCAAGAAAACAAATAGAGAACAGAAAAAGACGGGCTAATGTATTGGATAATGAGAGCGTGCTAGTGGATATGTGCTAAGTGCCTACAGAGCATCACAGCACTATACTGAAGGGTCACATGATCACATTCAGGTTGGTATTCACTGGAGACTGTAGTTTCGTAATAAAGGGTGGGGAAGAGCTGGTGTTTCGGTAATTCCAGATGTGGAAGGGGTGAAATGATTCTTTTCACCTCAGATAAGCTTTCTGACTTCTGGATTCTGTGATGTTCTGGATGAGAGGGGGACGATAGAAGGATTTCGATTGTATAGATGTCTAAGGAGCATTCCGTATGTACGTATCAGTCACAGAGAGGGCCGACAGTATCCCATCAGACCCTCTGCTGTAAAACTGTCTTTTGGCCAGCAGTGTGTGGATTTGAGATTGGCTCAAGGCAGGTTTTAGGACTGGGAGGAGAAGCAGGCAGTAGTGTCACCGCCGTCTTTCAGCCCAGCCGTAAGGTCTGACGCTGAAGTGAGAGGAGTGTCGTCTTGCTGGGGAACCTGGAGGGTTGAATCTGACTCTGGATGCGTTGAAGGGTCCAGATCACCTGCTGGCTGTATTGGGGGCTCTTGTGGCAGGGCGTCCTGTGTTGAAGAGCCAGGTTGTGATGAGCCTTTTAGCTGGTTGTGGCAAAGAGGGCAGGTCTCCTGCACATACAACCACTTCTTCAAGCATCCGGCATGGAATAGGTGACTGCAGGGGGTGATCACTGCTGACGTCATGTCCTAGATTCAAAAACAGAAGAAACAGTACATTACAATGATAATTATTTTTTATGTTATGGCTGTTAAATAGCACATTTTAAAAATGTAAAATATTTTGTCAAAATAAATAGAAAAAAAACTAAAGTGAATTTAGGCATCACTATTAATGTACAACATAAAAAATTGATACTCATTTTAAGATATTTTTAAATCAATAATAGTAATAATAATAATAATAATAACATTATTATTAATAATAAATTATTGTTATCGTTATCATAATCATTATAACAATGGCAAATTATTATATTATAAGTATAATTAATAATAATAATAATAATAATAATATACAAAGAAGAAAAATATTATTATTATTTTGATGTTTAATATAGGTTGAGTAATAATAATAAAAATAATAATTGTTCTTCTTCATATATTATTATTATTATTATTATTATTAATTATACTAATAATATAATAATTTGCCATTGTTAGAATAATAATAATAATAATGACATTATTATTAACATAATTATTATTATTATAATGATGGCAAATTATTATTTTATCAGTAGTTGTAGCAGTAGTAGTATTAATAATAAGACATCATCATCATCATCATTACAGTGACAGTAAATGTAATTTACATGTAAATATAAGGTAAACAAATCAATTTTCAATATCAGTTTATATTTATCCAATATTAACTCATACCAATAAATTATAAAAATCAAATATCGGCTGATAACTGATATAGTACCTGCTCCCCTAATGATAAGGAGTTGTGAATGGCTACCAGGGGGTTCATATGTTAATGTTCTAAGGTGTTATGAATGTGGTTGTTAGGTGGTTGCTTACTGACCAAAGTCAAAGGATAAGGCTCTTTCAAAGTAAGTCTACAATATTGTCTGCCAAACAAAGAAATCTTAAATCCAATCGCTTGGAAAATTCTTTCCTCAGCAAGCCACGCAATATTATATATGTCCATGTATATAATACAAATGGTGTGGCACAAATTATGCGCATACATTTAATACTTCGAGGATATGAACAATAGTGATGCACCCTAACTGAACCCACCATCAATCTACCACAGAAATACACAAGGAGACACGTGCTACAGAATGTACCTGGACATCCATCACAACACACAAATCCTCACATCCACACTCACACACACCTGGTAGCAGATGGAACAGATGTCATTGTGCTGCTGGAGTTGTTGGTGAGAAGCTGTAGGCAGGTTCTTGATCTTGTTGACAGCATCTCTGCGGAGCAGGAAACTCTGCCAGCCCAGCTGGGCCCTCAGCCACACGTTATAGTAAGAATGGATGAGTACGATGGTAGAGCCCATCACGGTCCACTCCCCGAACACAGTCTCCGACACGCCGTACGCGACCACGCATAGCGCAACCAGGAACTCCAGCAGCCTGTAGGTGCCGTTCACCCAGTAGATGACATCATCCATGTTCTCCACCGGAGCCTTGCGGAGCTCCTCCACCATGAAGAGCACGTAGATCAGCAGTGTGCCCAGCACCTGGGTGCGAAAGATTTTAAAACAGAGGGACAACAGTTGAATTTCACATTACACCAATCTGCAACAGTCACAACTCCTACATTACAACTGTAATAGGTTTTTTAGAGCCAGTGACTAGAGAGCAGGATGGCCGATGAAATACTGATTATATATAATGTAGGAATTGATCCATTTATACCAACACTTATATCACATTTACTCAAAAAATGATTTATTAATAATTTGTATTAATAACAAGTTGGAAATATGACTATTGTTACTATTAATACAAATCTAAACATAAAATATTAGTATAATTAAATATTACTATTACTAAATTAAATATTATTATTTATTATAAATTATTGGTAACACTTTACAATAACTTAACATTAGTTTAACTACATTAGGTAACATGAACTAACAATAAAAATACATCTAAATCTTTTAATCATTTTAATTTCAACATGTACTAATAAATTATTAAAATCAAAAGTGGTATCTGTTAATATTATTTAATGGAACTGAGCTGACATGAACTAACAGTGAACAGTTATATTTTTATTAACTAAAGATAAAAGTAAGGTATGGTGAAGATCAATGAATCCTGTGGATCCTTACTGTAAAGTGTTACCAAATTATTATATATATTTATTTCCCCACAAACAGGATGCAAAGATTCCCTTAAAGCAACGTTTCCTTTCTCCTTTCTTTAAGAATAATCCATATTTCATTTCTGTGAGATACAGGATATTTTTTAGGAATTACAGTAGGGGCTCACAGAACCAGTTTCAACTTGATGGTCAACAAGATGGTTAGTGAGAAACATAAACATCATCAAAGAAACAGGAAGGTTCTTTTAAAAACTTTATATAAGGAATATTAGAAAACAAGAGAACAGAGAGAAAATCATATAATACACTTTATGGTGTTGTGTCCTCCATTAGATCTGCAATTTGTATGGCTATTGTTACCAAAATCCATTAAAATCTCCAAAATTGTTTGTCAAGATTGTGAGTAATAACATATTCCATATAAGGAATAAAATCTGACAACATTCCTACAGTACCATATTGAGTTACAATTTCTCCCATTTATTTTTGTTCCGTTTCTGCTCCTTTATGCTGTTTCTCACACTCACTAATGCTCTAGTTCAGAGCTGATGGGTGTGTGTTTTTGTAGGATTTCTACCTGTAGTGAGGTCAGAATGCTGGAGGAGATGATGATCAGCAGCCAGAAGTCCATGTGGAAGAACTGACATATCATGTAGGACATGTAGGCTGGGAACACCAGCAGGAACAAGCACAGGCTAACCGCACGAAAGTGCTTCCATAAACTCCTGTTAGCAATAATGATTAAAAACTAATCAGAACACTAAATTACATTGTTTACTTGTATAATACATAAAGATATGTCTTTAACAATCATGCTTATGTACTTGTCTCTGGAGGCTCCCAGCGCCAGCACTATGGGATCAGCAATTTCCAGCATAGACTGCAAGATGGAGGCCACTACAATGAAGAGGATGATGCTGAGGAGGAAGGCTCTGTGGATGACCTGTAGCTCAATCAGTCCAGTCTGAACAGCGAGGATCAGAAGAGTGATTCCCTCTGTCATGCCCCTGAGAGAGAGATTTCTATGGTCAATTATGTGATAAAAAGGTGCCATAATGAATCAAGTATGGACTTCATGCCAAACTGTTTAGCAGGGTCATAATGGTTTAGTTACTTTTGATTACAGCATTTGATTTTGGTTTTGTTTTTAAGAAATTAATACTTTTATTTAGAAAGGATGCACTAAATTGTTCAAAAGACATTTTGGACAGTAAACACATTTATAGTGTTGCAAAAGATTACTATTTTAAATAAACACTGTTCTTTCTATTCAGCAAAGAATCCTGAAAAAAAGGTATCAGGGTTTCCACAAATATATCAGGGTTTTCAGCATTGGTAATAAGAATGATTATTTCTTGAGCACCAAATCAGCATATTAAAATGATTTCTGAAGGATCATGTGACACTGAAGACTGGAGTAATGGCTGCTGAAAAATCAGCTTTGCATCACAGGAATAAGTTACATTTGGAAATATATTAAAATAGAAAGCAGTCATTTTAAACAGTAATGTCACGTGCTGGTGCTGTAATGAGCACAATACGACGGAGAATTCCAAATCAATCTTTTAATAAATCCACAGAAGAAACACTGGAGAAACTCAGGGAAAATGCAGCACAACCAACGTCTAACATCAAACAATAACCGACAAAGGACTGAACAGAACAGGGAGGAATTATACAGAAACTAAACGAGGGAACTAATGAGATGATTAACGAGCACAGGTGAACTGAATGAACTAATCAGAGGGACAGAAACTAGGTCAAGGGAAACAAAACTAAACAAGAGAACAGAAAACAAAGGAAACACAAGTCCATAATGTGGCAAGTAATAACATTTCACAATATTTCTGTTTTTACTGTATTTTTAATCAAATAGGGAAAGGGACTTTCTTCAAAAAGATTAAATAAATCTGATCTCAAATAATAATTATAATAATAATAATTGTATTAATAAACCAAACAAAATGGCAACTGCCAGACAATAAAAGATCAACTTTTACTTAATTTAACCTTTTTATAATAAATAATTTTGTGTTGCATAAGAAAAAAATCTCTTTGAGTGACATGAGGGTGGGTATATGATACCTGTGCATGGTGTTGTCATTCATGAAAGCTCTGTAGCCCTGCAGGTAGAACTTGCAAAGAGTGAGCACTCCCAAAGCAACGAATGACACGGTGAACACCAGGCCCAGTAGAGAGTACGGAGTACAACAGCACTCTGCAATACTGGAAAACATTTAGAAATTAAGCTGCTGTGCACCTTCATGAGATTCAAATCAATCAAACATTTAACATTTACTAACAGTTCATCAAATATTTTACTGGGGAAAAAAAGATCAGCGACATTCTTATTTATCTTATCCATCTATTTCTCTATTACGCTCTTTAGTAAAATGCTCAGGAATGACAAGCAGAGCAGCCTGAACTTCAACTCACCTTGTGAGAAAAAGGAAGAGCAGCCTCTCTCTAGATGTGGGCTGGTCTCGTGTACTGAAGTATGTGTAGATTTGCAGAGCAAACAGAACCAGCCAGAAACACATGAACAACACAGGCAGAACCAACTGATTCCACAGAGACATACCGAGAGCCAGCAACCCATAAACCTCCACCACCTAACCGATATAACAGAGAAGAGTTGAATTATTTTTTCTTTGATTGATTTAACACTCTCAAGTCTGTTTTAAAACTCAATCTTTAGCCTCTACTGTTCTAACCTGTGCAAGTTCCCGGTACGCTGTCTTGGCCAGATTAAATGGCACCAGCAGGTTGGAGGCCAAAAAGTAGATGACTTCCAGGCCTGTGAAAATCATGGCAAAGCGATTGACGAAAACGATGGTCTCCAAAGGAACCAGGCACAGCCTGGCCATCAGAGGGAGCAAGTGCGCTGAGAACAGCCAAATGCGCTTGGTCTGCATCACACAGGAGCACAAGGTACACACCACCAGCTGGCCTATTCCCACATAAACACAGAGAAATAAAACAAAACATCTTATTCATAATAGAATTAAAATGACAGAAATGTTAGCAAAAATAAGATTACTATTAATACCAAACTGCAATATGATACTGTAAAGCAAAGCACAATACCTGAATCTGAGCCGTGTGCTCCCTACTGTACTCACTGACATTAATGAATGCATCTGTTCTGGCTGGAGTTAATTAGGCCCTACAGAATTCAGAGTAAAGGCTGAAGGACCCAGCAGCACTCAAGAAATCAATGCGCACACTAGTGAAATAAGTACCCCAAAGGGTGAATCTCACCAACAGGTGCTAGGGTTGTATTTCACCACAAAATGAAAAAAAAGAGAGAGAAAGAAAGAAAGATAAGATTATGCATAAAGAAAATTAAGCCTATTAAGTACATAATAATAATAATAATAATAATAACAATAAATCTCATTCTCATTACTGTAATGCAGTAAGAAAATCATTCTGTCTGTACACAATGTTTCTTTCTAATAAAAAATCTGGAAAATGTACATTTAGTACAGCAAGTACAATAATAATATATATATATATATATATTATAATATATATATATTTGACTTTCTGAATTTTTTACAACTTCAACACAAACAAAAGCTGAATTAGCAAGTAGAATTTTCATTTTCACAATTTTCACTATAACTAAAGACGGATAAGTGAAGACATAATATATACTCTTCTAAAGATCTTTTTAAAATAAACAATCTTTTCTGTTATGTAATAAAATATAAATAATAATAAATAAAATAACAATAAATAAATATATAAATAAAACTACTATCAATAAAGGCAGTCAGTATGATCTGCACATCAAAACTCTGGATGACAAACAAAAATACTAACCAATACTAACAAGATTTGTTGTCGCTGTTGCTTTTTAGGCCAAACTAAACAAAAAGTTGAATAAATGCTGTGTAACAAAAACATTTATCTTTGTTAATGCTAGTTAATGCATTAACTAAAAGTAACTAATGGGACCTTGTTGTCAAGTGTTACTTTCCTAATGCAAAATAAATGTTGTAATTTATTATTTTATTTTAAGGTGAAATATGATCTAGGCATGTTCTGGACAGTGAGATTTATCCCCTAAACCATATAAATGTCAAGCAAAACACAGAAAGGGGGAAATAATGAATACATATACAGTAGTTGATGAGAAAGCAAGAAAGTTAGAGGAAGGGACAGATTTACAAAATGCAGTGAAAGAAAAAGTGAGAGAGTAAGGGAAAGTATGACACATTACAAACAAGGGGAAGGGCAGACCATATTTGTGAGAGAGAAAAAAAATAAAAAATAAAGGAAGTGAGCAGGAGAGGTTTTGACATTAATCTGGCAAAGGATTGTACTTATAGCAAAACTGATGAGAGGGGAAAATATGAAAGCTGCATCTCTGGGTTTTGTGCAGTGTGTTTGAGGGCAGGCGGCATATGAGACGGGAACAAGAGTGGGAAATGCCTTGACCTCTGACATCACATGCCAAGACATGCAAAACTACCCAACTCTTCCCAGAATGACACTACATGAGCACACGTTCAGACTGAATAAGAGCTGTAATGAGTCAGTATGGGACTCGCACGTGATGGGAACGTGATTTGGAACGTTCATTTTAAGTCGACATGAAATCAGAACTGACCCTGTTTAACTTATTAAGTCCCCTCCTACTTGCAGTGTAGCAAAGACAGAGATGGCAAGAATGTGCATTTTCGTCTGTTTCCGTACCAATACCCTGTTTCCCATCTGCAAACTTTGAAGGAGGAGGAATATCAGAGGTTGAAATTGTATTATAAGCATTTCACTCCTGAATGCTTGCGGCGACACAATATGGCCTTTGCTTCATTTTTCATTAATTAAATTCTTTGTATTTAATGCTTAATATTTATATATTTTTCTTATGCTTGATAATGACTAATTATTATATATTATTATACTTAATTAATATTATTAATATAGTATATTTATTAATATGTTAACTAATTATATTACTTTATTACTAATATTAATAAATTATGCCAATTAAATATTAAAAACGAATATATAACTTTGGTAATATATCGCCCAGCCCTAATAGCACTAATTCATCTGTGCACATTATTCCAAGGAAAACTTTTCTCACTGAACATCCTGTTTCACTCAGAAATCATTTATCTGAAAGAAGTAAAAATAGTTTGTGAACAGCATTTCACATTGACTTTAAAAGAGCGATCCTTTGAAGACTTTGACAGGCACTTACAGATGAGCGCAGTAGTGAAGCGGTTGATGGACAGAGGCTCCAGGTACAGTGGGCCCTCATAACCAGACTCCAGCTCACTGCGCACATAGTCCCTGAAACAGAGAACAGAGACCTTATTCTAACCTCTCACAGTGTGACATTCTCCCTGAGTCATCACAGCCTGTGGAGGATCTATACTCATAGCCCGAGTCAGACAGCGCAGAGCAGTGGACCCATCAGTCCGTCTGTTTTTATCAGACTAGAATTCCTGAGAGAACAGTCACTTATATAACTCTTAGCTGAGTCCCACTGAGCACAAAAACAACTACCACTGACATTCAGAAGTTTAAAATAATCCTTTAACCTTAGCTAAGGGGTTTTTAATATGGGGTTCGCAACCCCTAGGGGCTCTGCAGCGCTCCTGCAGGGGCTCCAGCAATTATTTTTGATCTAATACTAATTTTTATGGGGGAAAAAGGTCCCAAACCTGCATAACTTTGTTTTTTTTTTGTGGAACACAAAGGTAGAATTTCTGAATAATGTGCTGGTCTCTCTCTTTTTTTTTTACACAATTATTATAACTGTGTAAAAAAAAAGAGCGGCCAGCACATTATTCAGAAATTCTACATTTTCTAATGAAACTGAAGATTTCAAGCTTAGAAAATTATGCAAAAGTATCATTAAAGCAGCATGTTCCATAAAAGATGTTCACTTTTAAAGCTCTACAATAGCTTTTGGTGAAAAATATAATTATTGAATTGGCTTTGCACATAACATCATAATTTCTTCTGGGGGTGATACATGACTCTGACATGTTGTTTGGGAGATTAACTCGTTTAAAGGACCGAATGGGTGTCATATATGACACACACATACCTGAATAAACATTTAGAAAGCTTGCTTAAATTCTTATCTGAGCTTGGCTCTGCTCAGTGTATGGAGGCAGAGAGGGAATACAGCGAGGCAGGTAAGTTACGAGCTGGCAGTAATGGCTTTGCCACACTTGGGTGATCTTAATTTGAGCAGTCACTGCTTTTTCTACAGACACACATTATGCTGAGAAATGTGCTAAAAGCTCTCTCTTAATCTGACACTAAACAGCCAGCTGTCAAACGCAAAGCACCACACTATAATCGCGGACCCATGAGCATGGCAGAGAAGAGAAGCATTTTTACCTTCAAAGCATTAAAAACACATTTTGTGTGTGTTTTTTTTTTTTGCAATATTATTTAAATGTCCAAATATAAATGCTAATAGAAATACAATTTAAAAAAGTATCTTTTGGCTAGTTTATTATATATTATAATTATTATATTTATTTATTAATCATTAATAAACCTATATATATATATATATGTGTGTGTGTATGTATATATATAAATAAATTACTAAAATAATAAAAATAATAATATATATATATATATATATATATATATATATAATAAACTAAACTAATCATAAAATAAAAACTAAAATAAAAAAATGTATCATAAAATAAACTAATATTATAATATAATAATTTAAATAATATACTAATACTTTAACTTTTGTGTTCCATGGGGAAAAAACAGCATAGAGGTTATAAACACATGAAGGCAAATAAATAACAGTATAATATAATATACACTACCATACAAAAGTTTGGGGTTGGTAAGATTTTTTTTTTTTTTTAAGAAATTATCATTATTCAGCAAGGATACATTAAATTAATCAAAGGTGACAGTAAACACATTTACAAAAAAAATATAAATTTCAATAAATGTTCTTTAGAACTCTCTATTCCTCAAAGAATCCAGGGGAAAAAATGTATCACGGTTTCCAAAAAAAAAAGTAAAGCAGCACAACTGTTTTCAACAATGACAATAATAAGACATGTTTCTTGAGCACTTAATCACCATAACTTGGGGATCTTCTTTCAAAAACATTTACAACAAAAATCTGACAAACCCTGGTCAGTCCCATTTTTTAATTAACAAAGAAAAATATAATCAACTATATTGTATAAAACAGACTAAATCAAAATGCAGGATGGATTCTCTCTTGGTTGAATGGCAAACAGTGTTTTTAAGGGAATTTTTACTGGCAATCAGGGTTGTTATGGTGGAAGCAGCTTTTCTGTCAATCTCTTTCTAAAGTCCTAAACTCTCACCTTGAGATCTGGTGACCAGCGAACAGCAGCAGAGCAGTGAGCACATACAGGTAGAGCTGCACCAAGTGCTGTCGGGGCAGAGTGAGCAAAACCAGACTCAGAATGTAGCCTGAAAGAGAGAGGGATAAAGAATGGGACTGCTGTTATTAGGCCGCTATGTGAGGATGCTGTCAAGCACACAGAAGGGCTTCTGAGGCCACATCTCTCTCAATATCTCTCAGACCAGCAGAGAGTCCATTCACTCAGACTGTCAAAGGAAGTTCCACAACCAGAGCACACTGACTGAATTTGGATATCCAGTTAATTGATAGTCACACCTGCATAAAGAGTCTTTGGGTATGTTTAGAACAGAATACTAGCATACTGTTCAGTGTGCAGAATATACCATATACTACCTACAATTTATTTTAAATAGCATATGAAACAGCATGAAATATGCAAATATAAAAAGTAGTACTACATTACACATTTACTTTGCATTTTTATTTTAGCTCAGTTAACAATCTCTAAAATAAACATGGTTAATTTGAATTTTAATAACTCAGGTCTTATCATTTGGCAGTCTGATGTGCATAAGGAGTCAGATCATGTGAAAAAAATCATGTTAGATATTGCTCCAAGTTCACTGAAAACCAAAATCGAGCTGATTGTGAAATTTACTAGCATATGTAGCCTATATCATTAATGTATAAGCTATAAATAATGCTGACATTTAGGCCAGCACCATTTCAAATGTGTGATTTAACTTTTACACACCAGTAACTTACACTGTAAACCTGAAATTGACAACTACTTAGTCTATTTTTGGTCAAACAATAGAACAATCCGTCTCTTTTGAGCAACACTACTGCGTTCGTGTATGAATCAGTGTTTCTGAACAAATCAATTGAGTGAATGATTAGATGACTCACTAATACACACATTCACATGTTTCCTTGTTAAATAAATTGGTGTTTTATTTGGAGTCAATAATTCATTCACTCAAAAAGTCACCACCTACTTAGCATAAAGATGTAATCTGCAGAAATGGTTACAGAGTATGCTCAACATAATGCACTAACACAGATTGCCTGGAATACACTGACAGTCTTTTCTGGAAAGCACAAACAGAAACAGAAACTGTTGGACTGGCACTCTTTGAGCACTGATTAGCCAATCAAATTCGAGGACTGGAACTAACTGCTGTTTAATGTACTGTACGTTTTTGTAGCTGTAGTAGATCATTCAATTATTTTAGGCATACAGAAAATGTGCAGTATAAACAGTGCAAGTTGGATGCTGTTTTGAGCCTATGTTATGATCATCATTGAGAAAACACAAAAGTGGAGGATATAGAATGGAAAAGTAGGCTAACACAAATTCAACATGAGATTTAGGTTATTGGAATGTTTGCATTAGACATCTAATAAAACGCCTGCAATATTTCCTGAAAAAAAAGGTGCTTTAAAATATTCAGTATAATATTAAAATATACATTCAGTATTATAAATGAACAAGGGTATTGTAGTACATGATTCAGCCTTCGGTCTGACATTCACTGGCTCACGCTGACATGTTTGTGTGTTCAAAAGAGTGTGAGTAGACAGGATGAGGCTGGAGATTAAGGTTTTTGCCATGCACAGATTAAGTTCTCATTACTCCACTGCCAAACCCTCTTGATCCCTCCTGTTACATAACAGTTTATCTGACGTTCAACACTCATCCTCTCACCCGCTCCTCCAGTTCACTTCTGCCATTCAAAAAATATAAAAACTTTTGCCATTCTCCACTGTCTAAAACACAGCAGAAATACAACACAACGGAAATATTCTACGTGGACTGAAGACACAAAGTTCATCTCAGTATTGATTAATGTGAAGTACGCTGGCACACTAGATTGAACCAATGCAATTACCTGGGAATAAAGTTAGCTCTGAAACACGAGGAAGCTCTCGCCAGGTCAAAGAGCAGAGGACTTGCCCATGTTTGTGGCTGGATAAAATGTTGAAAGACAGCTCATATTATCCATAGGCAGTAAAGATGGAAAGTGCCTGTGATCTTGCTGACAGTAGATGTTCTCCATTTCTCAATTTAACCTCTGCTGTAGTGCCTTCAGCCAAACCAAACTCACTGTAATTTATCTTCTCCTATATGTATCATTAAAAAAGATTGGATGGACAATGCTCAGTTTCCTCAATCTAATTATATAGGGCTAAAGCCCAGAATATATAGATATTAACTGTTTGAACAAAAAGTAGAGTTGTTCTGCAGAAATGTCAGCTCCTAGTGTTAGGGAAGGCCATCTTTATTAGTTCTAATAGCCTTGCAGTGTCATACCGTATTTTGAAATTGAAGTGTTGAACAGACAGGACAGACCTATTCTTTCCGCTTCAGTATAGTGCAAAATCCACAGGAGCTTCTCAGGGCCAAGTGGTTTTTCTTAACACAACTACAAACCCAGCAAGCCTGAGATTAGTCCACCAAAATTTCTCCTGACAGCAGCACTTTTCACCTGTGGGAGCTACTGTACTTGGACTCCATCCGCCATTCAGCAGGGGGTCCTGAGGGTACTGTAGCACCACCAACACTGGTGAAGTTGCACCTGCAAAACAAAGTTGCAGCCAAGAACAGAATCTGCTGAATCTCTATTAAACAGAACACCAGTAACGGCCCTGCTAGTGGTAGCTTTGAAATGTCAACACAGAGTCATTGCTTCTAAGCAATAGCTAATAAAGCACACTGCAGAGATGGAAAAAATGAAGTCTATTGTTTTCTGCCACTTTGTTAGTGTAATAACAGAGAAAAACAAATCATGTCTGTTTGTTGTAAATTATTAATTTATTGTTGTGAATACACTTAATCTACTTCATGTGGGTATTTTTAGACAGTTAATGTGGAAAGAGAAGGGGAAAAAAAATCATATGAAAATCAAGTTTATAACATGTGAAATGTTTTTAGTAATGTAATCTTTGTAAATATTTTGGTTTCACATATTTATTATGCTTTCATAAATTTGATTTAAACTATATTTAATTTTTAAAAAGTAAAAAGTATTTTTTACAAATATCATGAATAAATCATGAATATTACAATATTGCAGAGTCACACCACATTACATCCTCTCTATGACATTTTTTCCTGTATTTTTTTTCAGTATGTATCTGAATGTTGTTTCCATATGACTGATTCAAAGGACATAAAATTTGTAAGATCAATATGCAAGTTTTAAGGAAATATTTTGAAGGACCATAGTACAGTTACTATGTTTTGTTTTGTTTTGTTTTTGGTGTAGTTCCTTGTAACAACGTTCGTAGATTGGGAAGAAGGAGGTATCCTTCCGGAGCTCCTCCGTGGGACTCGAGACCGGTGAGAGGCGCAGGTGTCATGCATTATCACTTACTCCACCGGCCTCGCTCCATTCCCACAGAGCCGATCACGGTGGCCGTGGCGTACCTGGGGGTAAGGACAGACAGACGAGGCGAGAGAAAAGGAGACGGAAGGACGAGGAGAGACAGAGACGAGAGAGGGGAGAGAGGAAAAAAAAATTCTTGTTCCGGTTCCCAGACACACTGCCGCTCGGCCCTCCACCAGCTGGGTAAACTCTTCCGCGATGCCTGGCAGCAGCACTGAATAGCCCTCGGTGGACGGCCCGACACTCCTCCACCGCCCGGTGAACGGCGACGGCTCCTCTGCTCCCTCACGGACGGCAGCCATCCCTCCACATCCCAGGCGGCCGGCAGCGAGTTCGTCCGCCCCCCCGGCAACTCACTCCAGCCCACCGCCTTGAGCATCCATGGCCGAAGACTGCTCCGCCATGCTCGATGGCACCGCGGATTCACCACAGTCCTGTGGTTCATGTTTGTGGCATGCACCAGAAAGATGCTCAAGGAGACCGAGACGCGCTAAAGCAGTGCTGTAACACCGTTCGTGGTCTCGGGAAGGAGGAGGCGGGAACCAGTGAACATTTAAAGAAAGACTTTACTTTCGTTTTGTGTTTATTTTATTAAAGCGGCAGCCCCTCGTGGACGACTGCCGCACACAAAACACAAAATAAAGTCCAGGCCTGGTCCTCTCGTCCAACACGGTCGTCACTCCTCCTTTTATCCTTCCGGAGCTCCTTCGTGGGACGCGAGACCGGTGAGTGGCGCAGGTGTCATGCATTATCACTTACTCCACCGGCCTCGCTCCGTTCCCACGGCTCTCGGCCCCACCCCACTCGACACATTCCTCTACTGTGCTCTAGGGTGTTCTCCATTTGGGGATAAAGCGTAGATAGGCAGTAGAGTAGGATATACCTGTTTGATTAAGGAAAAGCATGGCTTTCTCTCACATAACCTCACTGCTTAATGGAGTTTGGATTGAGAAACAAATGTTTCAATCTCAATCTAGTGTTCTAAGCTTGTTTTGAACTATGTAACTTTGCACTTACTTTGTATATAGTTTAAGTAGCGTTGAAATTATGGTCTGTTGTTATTTGCTAATGCTATAGTTGTGTGTTTGTTTTGTAGAAAAACTTTTTTTTCCTGTCTCTCCTTCTTTCTTTTGTCTTGTGAATTACTCATTGTTGGACTAATGAATAACTTGATCAAAACGCTTTGCTCATCGTGCTGAGATCATTCAAGATCAAAGAGTTCCAACACACGCTATGTTTTAAAGGGGTCATATGACGTTGCTAAAAAGAACATTATTTTGTGTATTTGGTGTAATGCAATGTATATTTCCACATACTGTACATTATTGTTACTCCTCTATGCCCCGCCTTTCTGAAACGTATCGATTTTTACAAAGCTTATCGTTCTGAAAAGCAAGGTGTACGCTGATTGGCCAGCTATCCAGTGCATTGTGATTGGCCAAATACCTCAAGCGTGTGACGGAAATGTTATGCCCCTTACCATACTGTGATGCCATGTCCCAGCGTGACGAGACAAAACCAATAAAACCCATTACAAACGAGGCCTTTGTTGCATCCAGTGGGGACATAATTACGGATTATAATGACCTATACTATCTTTTTACGCGTTGTTGCGAATCAGCTCATGGGGAAATATGAATAATTAATCATAACTAGTTATAATTAATTATAAATATTTAGATCCGCTGTAGATATTTACTTGACCTCTCAGGGTCAACTGTCTTGTCAATTCTAAGAACGTTAATTTCCTGGTTAAGGGAAATAACTTTCTTACTGTACAACTCTACAAAGAGCTTGTAGCATAAATCTGCATGATTAAGTGACTCCAGTTATGAGCAAACAATGAACAACGTCAAGTGTGATACAAGTAAGGCTTTATTAACTACATAAACACTTAAACTAGTCTAACATACTACATAAACACTTAAACTGGTCTAACGTACACATATACACACACACACACACACACACATACGGTTGGTATAGGAAAGGGTTAAAGCTTAA